ACACACACACACACACACACACACACACACACACACACACACACACACACACACACACACACACACACCATATTGTCCTCCCTCCTATACATGTAGATCTAAGCTAAAAGTTTCATATCTTGGAGTAAAATAAATCATCCACGCGTAGAATCTAATAAATAATGTCAAATTTTAATTCAAGCCACAGAATTCTACACTTAAGTGTAGAATTCTGTGATTCAAGCACAATTCCCATGCTTATTTTGTTTCGTTTCCGGTGATAATGAAAGTACGGAAAGTTTTTTTTTATCGCTGAGCGGATATTGAAAGTTGTAAACAAAAGGAAAGAATAAGGAGAGAAGGACAAGTGCGTTGTTGAGCTAAAAGGTAGGATCGGATACATCGTCTAATATTTGCAAGCAGACTGACAAAAGGCATTTCTCCTTTCACTCGTACACCGTTGACAGATATTGTAGCAACGAGTTAATGGGAAGTATAGTGACGGATTCGACCGTCATACATGAAGAATAGCATCCTGTGTTGACTCTAATGACTCTAATTCTAAGTCTTCTAAAGTAAGCCAAAGTGTAAATCTGTAAACAATCGTAAACAGTGAGATACCGGCTCGTCCCTTTGCCGGGAAGGGGAGGGTGTGAGGACTACATAGGTCGATCTATTCACCAGCCTCCCAAAACCTCCGTCCGAAAGCCGAAAGTAGAAATAAAAGAAGGTTGACAGTACTAGAGATCCTAGTGTCCTATTTTAACCCAACGAATGACAAGTTTTATATCCAGGATGAATAATGGCCTGGCATGAATGGAGATTGTTTACTTTCTCGCATTCAATTCTGGCGGAGTTTATTGTTTACTTTCTCGCATTTAATTCCGGCGGAGGAACTCCGTAACAAGCGACCACTCTGAACTCTATTGAATATTAGCCTACTCAATGGCCATCAAAATCAGTACGGATGGCCTAAAGCCACAGTGTTATTAGATCTCCTACAAAATGATGAAATTGCAGCACTGGTTTTCGTGTACATTCTTAACTTCAGCGCAAAGTTTTGAATAGATCTAGATCTAGACTAGATTTTAGGCCGTCATTATTCGGACTCGAGTCCGAATAACATTTTTTCATATTCGGACTCGAGTCCGAAAATGTTATTCGGACACGGGTCCGGAAAAAAGGAAGTGTCTTCGTTCTATAGATCGAAAGTTCAGTGCTTCCAATTTTCCGCCATTTTTTAGTTCCCCCCACACCTTGTCTGCTGATCCGATGCCCGCTGCCTCATTGATACGCCCCACCCCCCATGTTTCCCACTTTCTTTGTTGTAGAAAAAGGTAAAATTGAAGATTAGCAGATCTCCTGGCACCTGCATATTATGAGCTTTGTAAAAAAAAAAGACCAATTCGTTAAAATACACAAGCCTGTGTCATCTTGATTGTTTACCAAGAAAAAGTTGTGTTGCTGTGTAGAGCCGAGCGTACGGCAACTTTTGATTCCATAGA